GGAGAAAACACACAAATAAAACCACCAGACAATGTTTCATGAACTTTTTTGAGTGATTTTGTCTTTGAAATACCTGGTTCTAGACATCAAAATAACCTTTTGTTGGGTTAAATCTTTGGGTTTTAAGACAGACATTACTGATTTTCCCATGAACTAAGCAAGGTGGCCCACCTAGCCTAAAATACCTAGCGAGAACAGTGCGTAATAAGGTACATGTAGACACACCTTAACCTTCCTCCAACAATTTCAAGGGTAATATAGTCTGCCCAATCACCTCCTGAACTTGTTGACTGAAACAGAAGCCCAGAGGGTTGTACCGTCCTGAAGGTAAGTTTTAACTCAGAGTCATCAGAATAAATGGCTGATTTAACGTCGTACTCCACATAACCACTTCCAGTAAACTGGCGAGACGCTAAAGAAAAAAATAATAAAACAATCAAAAAGAAAATACAGTTGAACCTCCAAAAAGCATCCACCCTGTTTCAAAGAGGCCAGTAATCAAAGTCCCAAAATAATAATTGTAGAAAAGAATCATAAATGAAAATCTATTAACCCTTTCACTGCCAAATTTAATCAAACGCAAATTTCGACCAAATTTCCAAATGTCATTTTGTGAAATTTTGAAAAACAAATAGCACCTTGTACAGGCAGAGAGCTTTCATTTGAATGGTCATATCATGGGATTTCATCCACAGACTCAAAAGTTAGAGTCACCTTAAAGTCTCCATCAAGCACTCTATCAAGCAGCCATGGACACCTTTTGGCTATCGCGATGAAAGTTTTCCTATTGCTGTCCCCTCTATTAAGCCTGGTTCTCATATGCCACCGAGCTACCTGCGACATAGCCGCCAGTAGTGCCTGCAATACTACCCTGACAAATGAGGACACAGGGCTGCCAGCAACAAGAAACACCTCAGGTCTTAACCGCCGGCATGCCTGCGAAGTTGAACTCGAGTCAACTTTACAGGCATGCCGGCGGTAAAGACTGACATAGCCTCTGTTGCCGGCAACTTCTGTTCTCATATCAGAACGGCACTGCAGGAGGTGCCGGCAGCTATGTCGCAGGTAGCTCGGCAGCATGAGAGAACCAGGCTTTAAGCAGCCATCAAATGCCCAATACACCTAGTTTGGATTTATTTTTTAAGTGGTTACGTCACACTACCTGCAATCATTTTTAAAGGCTAAAACTTATCTTTATATCAACTGATTCCAAAAATAATGGTCTAAATTTGTTGATTAAGACCATATTTAGCCATTGAAACCATTGGCAACGATGGACATGTATTGCAACTTGAAAGTTGACCGTTTTAATGTTCTTCCTGCTAATATAACAAACTATTAATAACCAAAGATTAGGGAGGGAGGGCGACAAGGACAGAAGGTCAAAACGCTCATGCTCCATTGGTGTAAGTTTTACATGACAGATGGTCGAAACATGCGCGATCAGATTACAAGTGATAGAAGGTCCAAACATGTGTGATCAAATTTGTTCTGTACAAGTCCAAATGAATGAGCGGCTACATACATGCGACGCATGGGTCTTCTTGTTCCCCGCAATAAATGACTACTAGTAATAACCAAAGGTTACAGTGTGTAGGCGACAATGATTGAAGATCAAAACACTTATGCTCCATCGCTGTAAGTTTCATGTGACAGATGGTCAAAACAAACGTGATCAGATTATGGGTGAAAGAAGGTCCAAACGGGCACGATCAAATTGCGTTATGTGCATTCCATTTATTTTTAATGAAGTCTAAACGAATGCTGGCTACGTACAGCAGACTCCTCTTGTTGCCCGCAACTAATAATTATTACGGTTGGTGCAAAGTTAAATGTATAATCTGCAACAGAAACTTTACAATCTGGGGCCAAAAAAATGGAAATTAACATCGCAGAAATTAACCTTCCACTTGATTAATGGCATTGAAATTAATGTTTACAACAATTAGCACAAATTTGTGAAATGTGTTAATTTCCAGTAACAGTGTTCTCCTTAGGATTTTAGGAAGGCCAGGGGGTATTCTGACTCAGATTTTCAACAGTGTTTGTATGATGCTTGAATTATAATCAAGACAGCGAAATATAATCAGTTCTCAAAAGACTCTTTGATGAGCTTTATTTTCATTCCGCACATCTTGGGTTGACCAAATTCTCCATTTTGACTCTCCTTAAAAAGCTAGCACAGGAATTGGTGCTCGCTGATGAAATTGGTTTGAATTCTTCTCCACAACTCTGCAGCAGCATTTTGAGCATTGGTAAAGAGACTATGCATGCATGAAAAACAAAGAAACTGTTTAATTGCATCAGATTTGCTGTGGCTAAATGTAATTTAGGCAAAGTTAACCTAGAAGCAATGCTGGTCAGTGGTTTTTCAGCTATACTGGAGGTGACCCAATGCCTATCGCAGGGGCACCTTGTGACTTCTATATGCAGTTGGTTACTTGCAGTTCTTCGCAGTGTTGTTGCAATAGCTTGCTGTTTGCATTTTTTTGTGCTTTGGTTTTTTACTCTGCTTGTACAATGACTACTTGTCTAAAGAACAATAGTTTGTCTGCTAGCTTGGACAGAGAGAATTCACCACCAGATACACTTCTGCACGCCCAGTTGTCTGTTCCTTCATCGCCCGCTTCTGCAGCAAACTCGGTGCCACAATCATCTTAAACAGTTGCCGCCATAGTTACTGCTGCTGGTGTCCATGATCCCACTCTAATTGCTACATTTGTCATTGCCATTAAGGCCTCTTTAGCAGCAGAAAATGGCCCTGGATCTACCTCACGTGATTCACCTTGCAATACAGCTAGCGTGGTGCTACAATCAGCTTTTGGGGCATTCCCGCCCCACTGCCCAGCTTGTTTCAACAAACGGTAACCTTTTTAGCTTCTTGAGGTGCCTTTCCGGAGCAACAGGCGATAACTTTACCTTCAGCGACTCAAGGTAGGCCTAACTTTACTGTGCCATCCTTTGTTGCCACTTTTGCAACCCCGCGCTCACCGATTTTAAGCACCTGGATCACAGCAGGCACTTCTGTCCCGGTACCACTCAGCAATAGCTCCTTGGTCGCCAGCGTGCCATCGGGACCACTACTCCAACAGCCGTTTGTAGTTGGGCCCGGTTTTTCACCAATTCCGGGGAAAACAGTTAGCCACATTATTGCTGGCAAAAGTATGTGGATTTGGGGGAATTGCTTTCCGTAAACATCATTCAGATCGAGCCGGAGTCACAAGCATTCCTTGACAGGCACTTAGTGTTTCTCCCAAGTGCCAAAAAGTAATGCTGATGCATCAAGGACATCGTGACCTGGTCTGAAGCTTTTACAATTTTCACGTTGATTCTGACATCATATTTTCCACACCGCTGGAAAGATTTAACATCCTACAAGCTTCTCATCCTACGCACTTACTGTCAGTTCAGTGGTCATGTTTGGCTGGCAAATAATCAGGCCTTTTGCCAGCACGCTGCGGTGACGAAGCTCGTAGACTGGTCGACCATGAACATTAAGCTCTACAATTTTCAGGCTGCTGGGGCCTCTGTGCATTCTGGGTCTGGTGGTTCCTTGAGCGAGCTACCAGAACCATCTGGAGCTGACTCATCCCAAGTCATTTGCTGGTCGTGGAACAGGGGACGCTGTTCGGCACAATTTGCTTCATGTTGATTCGCCAATCATCGCAGTGTGTGTGCGGGTTCCCACTGCACCTCTGAATGCTCTCCTCGTTTTGACAAAACATCCTCATACAATCGCAAGGGCAGATCTGCTTCTCCACCCTCCCCACCCCCGTCCGCCTTGAAATCCAGACGTTAGTGGATGCACTTTTTGTTATACTGATTGTTTTTTGCCTAGTTGAACTGCTTTTGATTGTCTTTAGTTTTATCCTTGATTCCTGACCATTATTCATCTAATTACTTCTTAAGTCGTGTTACCTCACCTTTGTAGACAGTTGCTACATGTAGGTTGGGCCGCATGTTCAGCACTAAAGTTGTCAACTTGTTTGAGTTTGCAGTTTGTTGTCCAAAAATTCTCTCTTTAGTACTGGGGTACCCCTTTACCAGCCTAGCTCTGCCTTATTTTAAAATAGCCTTTTTCCTTCCCAGCTTGCCCAGTTCTCCCTCCTGTATCAGCAGTAAATCCCCTTAAACTTCAGGAATTTTCAAAGGAATTGGCCAGTCAACCCGACCAGCAGCAGGTTTCTTATGTCCTCCAGGGTCTCCCGCATCACGCTTACGGTTATCCCTCTGCTCTTCACCATGCCCACATTGTTGATGCGTATCTAGCTGATGAAGTCTCTCTGGGCAGGGTTGAAGGCCCCTTCTCCTCCTTGACGCTTGATAGTTGATTTGTCTTCCCCAGGGGGTGCTAGTGTGAACGACGGCATTGATCCCTAGGATTTTTCTCTCCAGTATATTAAGGTTGATCAAGTTATTTGCAGGGTTTCCCATTATGGCCCAGGTGCCCTGATGGCAAAATTTGATGTGGAATCCGCTTATCAGAATATTCCAGTTCACCCATATGACCACTTCATACTTGGCATGAAACGGTGAGGTCAGTTCTACATTGACCTCTTTCTCCCCTTTGGTCTCCGTTCTGCACCATTTAATTTCAATTTCATAGCTGATATAGCCTTTCAGATTTGTTACATTATTTGGATGACTTTATTACCACAGGTCCCCAACAGTCTTCCCAGTGTGCTTATAACCTTAACACATAGGAATGTGCTCGTCTTCCTGAGGACAAATTGCTTGCATTAAGAGAGCTCATTCACTCCTGGATGCCCCGTTGCTGTTGCAGAAAGCAGGCATTGGAGTCCCTTGTTGGCCATTTACACCATGCTGCTAATGTAGTTAGGCCAGGGAAAGCCTTTCTCCATCAGTTTATTGACTTGCTGTGCTGCTTCCATAACAAGGACCACCCCATTTGGATTAACCAGGAGTTTCATCTTGATCTTCAATGGTGGCAGCATTTTCTACCCTCCTGGCATGGAGCTGGGTTCTGGTTGTACCCTGGCATGTCTGCTGCCACAGACTTGGAGGTCACCTTGGATGCGGCTGGTGCAATTTGCTTTGGTACCTATTTTCGAGGCTAATGGTTTTATGGTGCCTGGCAACGGTGCAGGCCAGGCAATCTATTGTATATCAAGAACTTTTTCCTATGGGGATTGCTCCTCACCTTTGGGGATCTTAGCAGGCTAGGAAGCATGTCCTTTTTTGATCAGATAACGAGGCCGTAGTTGCTATTCTAACAACCAGGACCTCGAAGGGTCCAGCTTTAATGCACCTTCTCCATGATCTTCTGCTCTCGACGGCATGTTGGGGTTCTACTTTCAACACTGCTCACGTTCCTGGAGTTGAGAACAAAATAGCTGATGCTATCTCTCGTTTCTGTTGGCAGGAGTTCAGGCAGCTGGCTCCGGACGCTCATTCTTCCCCTTGTTCCATTCCTCAGCTCCTGTTGGACAGCTTAACACCTCCTCCCTAGAGCAATGGCGCTTGCATTTCTTAGCCCAGGGTTTGGCTCCTTCCACCCGCAAAGCATATGCGTCAGGTATCAACGCAAGTTTGTCAAATTTTGCCATCAAACCGGAAAGCTCCACCCCAATGGCCCGCCTTGCCCTGCAGATTAGTGGACACTATGTTTGTTTGTTTCATTTCTTGCAGATTCAATTCAGCATTCGTCAATTAAAGTATATTTATCTGCAGTTTGCTCCTTGCAAATAGGGCAAGGTTTTCCTGACCTTTTGCTTAATTAACTGCGGCTTCAACGAGTGTTAATAGGGGTCGAGCGTTCCCCAGGTTCCCCAGCAGCTCAGCACCTTCCAATACTGACAGCCTGCTTTTGGTTATTCATCGGGCGTTGGAATGGCCCTCAATATTTTTTATCATTGCACATTCTTGGCAGCTTGCATGCTAGGTTATTTTGGTTTTCTCCACGCTGCAGAATTTACAATCCCCAATTTAGCTAGCTTTTGGTGGAAGACATCGCAGTGGATTCACTCCAATCGTCAGCCTGTCTCCGTGTTCAAATAAAAGCTTCAAAAACAGATCCGTTCTGTCAGGGTTGCTACATCCATATTGGTCTGGGACGGGCACCTCTCTGCGCATTGCTGGCTTACCTCTCCTTGCGAGGAAATGTCCCTGGCCCCTTGTTCCCACTCACGCATGGTCAACCTCTGTCTTGCTCAATCCTGACTGATTGGCTGCGGCAATTTTTCCCCACTGCGGGGATTGAAGTCAATTTTTCAAGTCACAGCTTCCGCATTGGGGCAGCCATGGTAGCAGCTCACAATGGTATTCCTCACCAGCTAATTCAGGCTCTTGGACGCTGGACTGGCAATGCATACCAGCTTTATATCCAGACACCTTCTGAAGCTCTTGCAGGCATCTCTAGTCAGCTGGCTTGACATCCTGTGTCATTGAGTTTGCGGGTCCCATTTGTTATCTACAGTGCCTTTGACATTGCAGCCGGGTTGAGTACTGAATTGACCTGGGCGTGCACTGCTGATAATGGTGTCGCTCTCACTGTCAGCTGCATTCCTTTGGTAAGCGTATTGTCTTGTGTTTTGATGCAACTGTTGCAGCTTGGTGCTTGGAGTTGTTGGAGTTGGAGGTTCCATTTCACCCCTGTTGGCTGGCTCCTCCCTTTTCAAGCACCAAGGAGATTCCATTTGGGTGGGGGCCGCTCACAGAGTTGCCATGGATACCTCCTACTCTTGTAAGAGCAGTTACCTGGCTCCACCAACTTTGTAGGCACCAACACCCAAGCTCATCTATTGGTGATGAGTTTAACATGTACAATCAACGACTTACTTTAGAAAGATGGTTTACTAAGTTAGAACAAACGCCACTGAATCATAGTGAGGAGTTATCGGCACCGTACAAACAACTTATTGACAGACTCAAGCAAAACTATAATTATAGAATGATAGAACAACCAACAATTTTGACTTAAAGTAAATAACTGTTTAACAATAGATCTGGATCGAAACACACCTATGACATAACCAGTCTTCACAGCCAATAACATCACAGCTTAACTGACAGACAACCGACAACATCATGAATAAATTGAACAATCAGGTACATAGCCAGAGTTTGACACCATCAACTGATGTGATACAACTCATTTTATGTACTGCACAGGTTATCAAAACTTTACTCACTGATAACAACAGTCCTATTCAGAACTACGTTCACAGGACGATCATGTTCAACCTACTAAGTAATGAGTCTGTATGCAAAATCACAGGTAACTCTTCAAACCAAGCGGACATAATTCAAAAGAACACTGTATCTCTTACAAAAAGTTTAAATTCCTTTTTACCACATCTACCAATGATCCCTACCTCCAAGTAAACAGGTATTAGTAAAACAGTGTACTTAACTTTCAGGGACCACACAGCGTACTTTGGATTGTTGGATTGTTCCTGAACTTCAATGACTTTGCCAAGAAGAACGTTTGGATGCAGTGGGGAGGTTTTATCGACTTTGTCAATTTTTATTGCAACAAAGTCACCAATTTTGAATTTATTGACTCTGCCTCTGGATTCTTTCATTTTCTTGTTGTATTTTGTTGTTGCCCAGTGATGTACTCTTCTGTAGCTTTCCTTTTGTGTGGGTTTTCAGGTAAAGTTCCTGGATGATCTGCAGCAGAAGATCCCATTGTACTCTTTCTAGAACCATTTGGATTATTAGTCGACTCAGATATTTCATTGAACTCTGTGGCTGTTCCCAAGTTTGTAACTAGTTCACATTCTTCTACATGAAGTTGAACCTGATTTTTTCTGTGCAGGGGAATCTCTTTCCAGGGAAGCATTCCAAATACAACCTCGTATGGCACTTTATTTATCGCCCTATGTAATGAGATGTTCTTCTTGTATGCCGCTTCACTAAGGACTTTGCACCATTTGTTTAAATTCTGATCACGTTCTTTGAGTATGTTGGTGATGTTCTCCTTGTCTGTTAAGTTGTTTCGTTCAACAAGGCCCTGTGTTGTTGGGGTTCTGGGTGCCCCAAAAACCTGTTTGATGTTGTGCTCTTCACACAGTTCACTCATTGTTTTGCTTTTAAATTCCGTCCCATTATCAGAGGGAACTTTTGAAGGGAAGCCAAACATCTAGAATAAATTTTCAAGTGTTGTTGCAACTTCATTAGTCTCTTTACTCTTCAGAGGAAACAGCCATGAATATTTACTGAAGTGGTCTATCACATGGAGTACCCAGTTATGCTTGGAATTACATTCACATGGAAGATTGCAAAAGTCAATGAGGTCTATCTCCACATGTTCCAGGAATTTTTCTGTTGTTATTGGATTTGTTATTGCCTTCTTGGTGTGGTTTGTCACACTTTTTTGTTGCTGGTGTAGCTTACAAAGTGAAACAAACAATGTTATTACTTCTTGAGAAATTCCAAAGTAGAAGGTTCTTATGTGTCTCTCTGTTTTATCTCTTCCTCTATGTGCTATGGCCGAGTGAGCTTCACACAGTACACCATGAATCTCTCTCTTTGGTACTACACATTTGTTATCTGAGGTGATAATCTTTCCTCCATTTGACAAATCCCAGTTGTTCCTTGTAATTTTCTGCTTGGTTAGCTTCCCTAGGTTAAGACTCTTTCGCTCCTCAGGATTTGTTTGCAGCCATGTTTTTGTTTCATCGAAAAAACAATCTTCAATAAACAATGTGGTTTTGCTTGACTTTGCCTTCTTTGATTCTTTTAGTTCCTCTAATTTGCTATAAAACAGGGCAGATTCTACACAGCCTTTAGGCACATTGGAAGCTGCCATGTTTGACTAACTGAGGAGCACTGGGTTCTACTATTGATTTGCATAATATGGGTAAATGAATGAGGTACCTGTAGAATATGTTTATCAAAAGTTGGTTGAGTTTGTATGCAAGTCATCGTGGCTCAGTGGATAGGACATCAGGACATGAATCCAGTGAACATCCAGAGGTCTTCGGTTCAATACACGAGGTAAGCAAAGATAAAAAAACGGCTAGCTTGTAGTAAGGGGTAGAGATAGGATGGATAGGGTAGGGTCGTGCAGAAAATGGCATATTACAGTATTATTTTTTTTTTGAAAATTAAAACAAATTGACCTAGGTTGAAACAAATTGACCTGGTTTTAAAAACGAATTAACCTAAGGCTCAATTTAACCTGCAACACATCCGCTCCAGAAAATTTTGAAATTTAGAGCTTCTGAAATCACCAGAAATGCATTTATTTCTATCAATAATCATTGTGAAAAAGTTTTGTCCAATTTTTTTTACCATTCTGTTAGATTTCTGCACAAAAAATACATTTAAAAAATAAAATTGTGTTAGATTAGAGGTACTTTGGTGAATGCAAACAAATAAACTCCTGGTAAAATTATTGGTGAGGCTATAGCCCACCCAGCCCCATACCTCCATGGTCCCTGACTTTAGCAATATGACAGTAAAAGTATTTATGGAATGAGGAAACTGACATCTTTCATTTACCTCGCTACGAAACAATTAATGACCACAACAACAGAAATGTGTATTGATAGAGTAAATGCTCACACTAGTAACCAAACTATATTTTTTCTATATTAATGACATCATCTCATTAAAATAAAAATATGACAAGGAAACTACATGAGTATGATTTGACTTGCAGTATTGATATGTAATATAAGAATCACCCCACAAAATTATTGAAAAATTCTGCGATTAAATTTTATCTGGAAAAGTGAAAATGAAAAAAAAGAGAATAATTTCGTTGAACGCCGATTGACAAAAGTTGGATATTTTGCTCCACAAGCACATACGTGATGTTGTATATGGGTACTGTACAACCTGAGCTTTTATTTAGTCCACAAAAATTTACAGAGAATAAACCCTCATTGTTCAAAGTCCTGGATAATCTGAAATGAATCGTAATCAAAACAAACACATTTATGAATGAAGGAAATTCCTGTGAGGTTTTTGTATCAAAAAGATAAGAATGTGTCGCAAATGATAACCACAACATTAAAATGATACGAACATCGTCCTTTGATTTCTGAAAAACCAACTTGACAAAGACACAAGGAAAATATATAAAAATCTTCACTAGAGTATACACAATAAACAACTGTACAAAGGTAGAAAAGATCTTGCTTCCTAGTCATGCTGTGTTTCACGCTTGTGTGGACAAAACTTCGAATATTTTCAATAACAAGCATTTACAGATCACGCAATAGTCGGAATCTACAGACCGCCTTGTGGGAGTGTAATCAACAATTACAAGGCAAAACCTCGAGTGATGATACATTGTGTCTTGATCTCTATGTAAGCCACGTGTGATGCTTTTCACATCGAAACAGCAAAACAAGAGTATGATTTACACTGCAACGACCGATCACTTTACAAAAACACGTACGTTTGACAAACCACGATCGAACCTTTCTGCTTCCAAATAGCCCCTTTCTCGGCCATAAATTAACATTACTTAAGGACACAAATATGTTTATCCTCTGTGGAAACAGTAGAGCGAATAGTGAAGTTAATATACTCGAGTCATTAATGGCTGATAACCACATAACCGATAATTTAAAGTTGATGGGTAGGTTGGGTCGAAAAACAGCGTTCCCGCCTTGAATAACACTTTGCAACGAACTGAAGAATTTTCGAGCTAGAATCAAGCATAAGACAATCTCTGCAAAGCCTGATCTGTTTCTTACCTGCAAAGACGATTGCCAGAAAGTGAAAGAGCCACAACACCGACACCATTAATTTTGCATCCATGACACTAAAGATGGTGGATTCAATCAGAAACCACGCTTACTATTGTCACGTGAACATCTAACGACGCTTTCCAGCATACATTCCAAACATTGTTTCTTGGTGCGTTCTTATTGGATAACACCTGTTCAAGAACGTAATCCGATTGGTCAAACACTTGAACTTTGAGTGGTTTCTGGGTGGGGCAAATGTCACGCAACGTTGAACGCGATCATATCCGGGTCCTGTAATTGAATCACGTAACAATATTGCTCGCGGTGGCGGTGGTGAGGGAGTGAGAGAGTTGTTCCCTACCTGTACATCCGTGATATTTGTTGACCATACGAGGCTTTCACTTTTCTAAAGCATCGACAACATTTTCGATAAGTTGACAGACGATTTCTCATTTGTTTTGCATGGGGAACCAAAGGAAAAGCCCTGGGAACGAGCCTGGCGGGGGACAGGACCGTGCTACTCTGGACGCGTTCCAGACAAAAAGAGATGAATTTGCGACCCTCTTCCAATTCCAGACAAGAATTGTAAAAATAGGAATCCTGTTTCTGTGGCTGGCTCAGTGATAAAACTTCTAGAGAGGCGTATAGGTAGTTTTATACCTAAGCTTAATCGAGAATAATAAGGCATTTAATATGGGGAAAAATGGACTCTGTCCTGTGTCAATGTAAGGTAAAAAATTCTCCTCTACCGGAGAAAAAGGGTGCTTTCAAAAAGCTTGCCCTGTGCAGCGGCACATACCGGTATAGCCAATATATGGGAGCATCCCCCTGGGGGCCGGGGTAGCGAAGGCTACGCACCTGGCAAGGAGCCTACCTGGCTCCACTTTTTAATCAAAAGCTTAATGTTAGCCTTCGTGTAAGCGAAATGATGTGCGAGAGCTCCGCGCAGGCTAGCCAGGGGCCAGCCTTGCATATCACGACCGGTACATCTTAACGTTGCGTGGAAACTGTTGGGTAGGCCCGCGAGCGGTCGTCATTCGCGCGCGGCAAGCGAAAAAGTATATTTATGCA